GTGTGTGTGTGTTTGTGTGTGTGTGTGTGTGTGACCTGCAGCAAAAAATACGTAGTTTGACTCCCCCCCCCCAAAAAAAAAGCAGTGCATCTGTGTGCGGGAGTGCGTCTCCGAATAGTTCCTAGGTGCTCGCCGGAGATGTCTCCGAATATCTTCTGCCTACTTGGAGAGCCTTGACAGATGGGCGACGAGGAAAGATCAGGATAATCCTATCTTTTTGAGAGCATACGAGAAAGGGAATGAAAGGAGAACAATGGTCCCGATGTGTGTCGTAAATCTGGCATTCGATGATGATGATGATGATGATGATGATGATGATGATGATGATGATGATGATGATGATGATGATGATGATGATGATGATGATGATTGTCCGGCAGAGAAGACAAGTCAATCTATGACATGAGCCAGTGACGTTAGCCTATGACGTCATTCATACCTACGTCGCTTCTGCAAAATCCATTCCCTTCACAGAAGAACGAAAAAGGAGACCACATTCCTGCCAGTATCATGCTGTTTGCTCGTTATCACATTCCTGTATCATGCTGTTTGTTCGTTATCACATTCCTGTATCATGCTGTTTGTTCGTTATCACATTCCTGTCTGTATCATGCTGTTTGCTCGTTATCACATTCCTATATCATGTTGTTTGCTCGTTATCACATTCCTGTATCATGCTGTTTGTTCGTTATCACATTCCTGTATCATTCTGTTTGCTCGTTATCACATTCCTGTATCGTGCTGTGTGTTCCTTACTACATTCCAGATCATGCACGGTGTTCTTGGGGTGAGCACAAGCCATTTCCATTTTTAGACAATGTTTTTTTTTGGTCGCACCTAAGACGAGTTTGTCGCGTACCATGCACAATGTACTGTCCATATGTGAGGCAGCGTGGTGGAATCAGGCTCTCGTCAATTTTTGGTCATGTAGGGTTATTGATATCATCTTAAAGCTTGTTCACTTGTCTTTATTTGGATGAAAACAATATCCATTTATCTTGAATACAAGTCGAGTTATTTGCGAATGAAGGAGGTGGGGTCACCTGTTTTCAGAGGTAAAATTAGTGAGAAAATGGCCGCCTAAGGTTGGTTATTTCCTTAGCTTAAGAGTCCGTGGTAACTGAAAACTAAAATTTTGTGTGCCTTCTATCAATGTTTTTAAGAAAAATCCCACAGAAATGAGTTCTTTAATGGGCATGAAAGGTGTTGAGCCGAAAAACAAAAATTTGATAAAAATTCACTAACCTGTAGAAAAATGCAGGTTTCTTCACTTTGATTATTTTGACGAGAGCCTGATTCCACCACGCTGCTCACATTTATCATGCTGTTTGTTCGTTTCTAACCACAGTTGCAGATCATGCAGGGTTTTCATGGGGTGGGCACTTGTTATTTCCATCTTCAGCGGATTTTTTTTGGTTACGTTTATGACGGTTTTGTCACATCCCATGCACTATGTACCTATAAATATATTATTATAATCCATACATCATGCTGTTTGTTCATTATTACTTATAGACCTTAGTTTCAATTCATGCGGAGATTTCATGGAATGAGCACTAGTCATTTTCGTCTTCAGACAATTTTTTGTCACATCTATGACGATTTTGTCACACACCATGCACGATGTACCACACCATTTCATGCTCTTTTCTTGTTGCCATAGTTTCGATCATGCAGGGCGTTTCATTGGACGAGTAATTATTTGTCATTTAAACGTCCATCTCAAGATGATTTTGTCGCATTCCATGCACAGTCATGCTGGTTCTAATGGTGGAAAATGTTGTACTACTGAAATTGTAGGGGCAGGATGGTTGGGTTTTTTTTTTTAGGTTGGG